ACCAAATTACAGCTGGTTCTTTTGGGGGTAGGGGGTTGTTTCTGAGATAGGGTCTTGCTATGGACCCCAAGCTGACCTTGAACTCATGGCGACCCTCCTGCCTCAGCCTCTTGAATTCTGGGATTACAGGTGTATGCACCTATGCTTAGAGCTGTTTTGAGGGAACTATTTCTGTGGTCAATGTTTGATATTTGTTCCTAACCCTGTAAGGCTCTTCCCCTCTGTCTTAGTCCCTGGTATTCCTTACAAACTGGGAGATCTACAGTCTACGCCAGTGGTGGCGAACCTATGGCATACGGCCACAGTGGGCACACAGAGCCCTCTCTGTTGGCACAAGAGCTAAGTCACCCCAGCAGCCTCGGATAACAGTTGTTCTTTTCTAATCTAAAACGCTGGTACTATATTCCGCTTTAATTGCAGTGTTGGCACTTTGCGACAAATAAGTGGGTTTTGAGTTGCAGTTTGGGCATTAGATCTCTGAAAGATTCGCCCATAACTGGTGTAGGCTGACTCTCCATTAAACCCACAAAAATTCCAACTGCTTCTCACTACCTTCCACCATTCTCAAGAGTACCCACCCTTAGAAGGGAAAAAATACCCTTATGCATGAACTTCATAATGTGTTGCAGATGATGTTACTTCCTTAGCAAAAGATTAGCTGCACTGGGGAATAAACCCAGGGCCTCCCGGATATACTCTTCCACTGAGCTATACCTCCAACCAGGAACAACCTGTTCTAAGACCTGCTTCTTTCCTTGAGCAAAATTCTTGACCTAGCAGGGAGTGGTGGTAGGAATATACCTATAATATTCCACATACCTATAATATTCCACATACCTATAATCCCAGCTACTCCAGAAGCTGAGGCAGGAGGCTTGCAAATTGGAGATCAACCCGGGCAATTTAGCAAAGCACTGTCTCGAAATCTTTAAAAGGGCTGGGAATGTAGCTTAATGCTCTCTGGACTCAATACCCAGGACTGGGGGTTGAAACCCTGAGCCAGGGGCTCTGGGGGTGGAAAAGGGGACCATGGCAACACAAACTCGGCACATCAGGCATCTAACAGGTTGGGAGATATAATTATTTCTCTTATATCGTATTTGGAGCTTCTGATATCATCCCTGTAACACCCCACTCTAGGACGGAGCACTTGGCCGAAGAGGATGGGGAGACAGGGGAACAAACTAGCCTGAGGTCTCCGCTTCCCCCTGCCACTGCTGCGGCACCACCTCACAAGCTGGGCTGAGGCAAGAGCAGTCAGAGCCGAAGTTATTTCAGGATGTCTGACCCTATTCCACAAGTAGGGACTGGGTGGAAGAAAAGTGCCCCATTAGCATTGGTGGTGCATGCCTATAGTTCCAGCACTTTGGGAGGCTGAGGCAGGAGGATCACAAATTGGAGTCCAGCCTCCACAACTTAGCAACTCAGTGAGGCCCTGTCTCAAAATAAAAATTCAGTTATAGTGGCACATATCTATAATCCAAGCACTAGCTGGGCATGGTGGTGCATACCAGTAATCCCAGCACTTGGGAGGGAGGCATACCAGTAATCCCAGCACTTGGGAGGGAGGCTGAGGCAGGAGGATCATTGCAAGTTCAAGACTAGCCTGGGCTACAAAGCAAGCTCAAGGCCAGCCTGAACTGCATAGTGAGACTCTGTTTTAAAAAGACAAAAAAAAAAAATCTCAGTACTTGGGAGGCTGAGGCAGGAGAATTGCCAAAAGTTCAAAATGAGCATGTATTACACAGTGAGTCAAGGCCAGCCTAAACTATACAGTTAGACCCTGTCTTAGAAAAACAAAAAAATGCCAGGCGTGGTGGCACACACCTGTAATTCCAGCACTTGGGTGGCTGAGGCAGGAGGATCATTGTGAGTTCAAGACCAGCCTGGGCTACAAAGTGAGCTCAAGGCCAGCTTGAACTGCATAGTGAGACTCTTGTCTCAAAAAGACCAAAAAAAAAAAAACAAAAAAAACCAAAAAAACCTAATTAATTAATTAACTTAAAAGCTCTGGGGCCAGTTTATCAGGTGCACTCATCCAGAAATTTGTCTCAGCAACAAGCAGCTCTGACTAGGATGACACACACTAAAGTCCCGCCCCCCTTGAGAAAATAGCCCTCTGATTGGCAGTTGAAGGAGAGGGAGCCTGGGTTACAGATTATAGCAGTCTGGAATCTGCCTCATTGAGCTGGGATTAGTGAGGGACAGAGTACTTCTCTTACCAAATTTTCAGTTTGTTTGTTTGTTTGTTTGTTGACACACTATGTATCC